CCTTTTTACCAAGCAAGGCTACTTTATAATAACTACTTTTAAAAAAAATTCTTAATAAAGTATAAGCTTTAGTATTTTAGTAAAGCTAAATAATTTTTAAAAATTTAAATTTTTTAGGATAGGCCTTAGCGCAAGCTTTAATTTTTTTAGGATTTTTATATTAAAGCTATTATAAATTAATTTTACTTAAATATTATAATTTAATTATTTTTTACCCTGCTTTTATTACCTAGCAAGTTTTATTTAAACTTTAATATAGTTACCTTTAAAAATATTAAAAAAATAAGGTTAAAAATTAAATTTATTAAATATATTAGTACCCTTATTTATTTAAATATTTTTTATATAATAAGCTACTTATTAAAATATTTTATTAATTTTATAAATTATTATTAACATGTAGTAAATTAACTTATTTTTTATTTTTATAATATATACTTTTTTATTTTTAAATACTTTAGTTTAAATAGCTTTAGAAATAAGGTTTTTATTAAAAAAATATAAAATTTATAAATTATATTTTAATATAATATTTATAAATTACTTTAATTAATTTTTTAATATAGGCTATATTTATAAGCTATATAAAAATTTAATTAAATAAAAAGTTATAAAGCAGCACTTAATTATAACTTTAATAATTAAAATAAAATTACTTACTTTATTTAAGGCCTTTAAAATAACTTACTAATAGTACTAGGTTTTTAATTTAATATAATTTAATTTTTAATACTAGCTTTTAATTTAATATAATAATAAATAAATAATTAATATTTTTATTAATATTAATATATAACTTTACTTAAAGCTTTATTATATTAATATTTATAATTTATAGCTTAGGTAGGAAGTTTAGCATAAAAATTTTTAAATTAAATAAATTTTTATTAACTAAATAATTATAAATAGTTTTATAAAGGCACTTATTAAATAATAATATTAAAAATTTATTAAAATACTAGGTTTAGTAAATATCTCTAGCCTTATTTTTAATTAATTTAAAAGTAAGTAGGTGTTAAAAGGGCGTGTTAGCTAATAATAACAATTACTTAATTTAATAAAAAAGTATTATAGTATTTTAATAGCGCTTAGGTACCTTAGGTAGTTTTAATTAAAATATTATAATACTTACTACTAAATTACTTACTTATATAACTATAATATTTACAGTTTTTTAAATATCACAAAGTGTTAGTAAAAGTATTTAAAATTTTTATTATTTTTAAAAGCTTAAATTATTTATATAAACCCTAGTTAGCTCCAGCTTTTAAATATTATTACGTTTCTTATTTAATTCTCTAGTATCTGTACGATTGACAGCTTTCCTTTGCACGGTATTCAAAAGGCCTCATAAAACACGACTCTACTCCGTAGAGAAGGACCCCGCGAAGACACCAAATCTCCAGTCTTAATTTCTCGCCTCAAGAAGTCAAGACAAGACTCTGTTCTCCACTTTATGGTCCAGGATATTTTTGGCAGTGCGTATGTAGACACTCGCCAGATCATGGTTCAGGGTACCTGAGCACACTCAGCAGGAACTCGACTCGACTTATCTTGTAACACGATAGGTATTATGGGTGTCGTTACACAGCATAGTTAAACTAACTTCAATATCTGCAGGACAAGCCTAGCGATTGACGACGGGATATGCTCGACTCTCAAGATTCGAGTGAGTCGAGTCCCAATTGAGCCCGTCGATGCATTGGCGGGCGCAAATGTGACCGGCTCACCGGGAAGGCTATGCCACGCGAAATGATCAATCATATTTCCATCCCGGCAGGATTGTCCCCACTGGCGATTGGCTTTTACCTCGAGATTTTGAGGGGATTCCAGGAGGTGGCTCCTCCACAGAGGCTGACGGCGTCAACCGGGAACCCCGTACAGCATCCGGCTGACGCAGCAGTCAGCATCGACGCGAGCACGCGGCACGCCGCTATCCGCGAAGCATCAAGCCCAGAATGCAGTTTGAACTGCTTGATCACCATCAAGCCTACCAACCGCCGCGAAGGCTCGTTGCCACCATAGCAATGCCAAAGCAAGGGGCTTTGGCTTTCTGCTTAGTGCTCAAAACTCGTCGGTGGGTTGCTCTCCGATACGGATGGATCGTCGCCTGCTGGATTCTAGTCTAGGTAGGGACTAGACGGTGCGGCAAAGAGCACAAGCCCTACGAGCGGATTCGATTCCAAATTCCGGATCTTGGCGGTACCTTCGTCTACAGAGTATGTACAGTAAGGTTTGAGAGGGAAGCAAGGTTCTGACTCCTGAGTCCCGAGTGTTCCTGACCTCCATCCCCGAGACGTTCACTGCGGTTGACACATCACTCAACTTATCCCCCAGCATTGTGAAGCGGGCGTTCCGGCCCGGGGCAGTTGCCAAGGTGCAGAAACAGGTACCCTATAGGCTATTGACTTCCTGCTGAGGCAAAAGAAGAGCCAGCGTGGCCAGGCCTATCTTGCCGTCTCAAGAAATTGCCACCTATGTCACAGCTGAGGTACCGCGTCTGCATACGAGGACAGTGCGATGCTCGGACTTGCTTTCCCCAAGCGCTTTCTTGACGTATCAGGGGTCGAAACCGAATGCACCAATAATCCCGCAACTTTCTCTGTCTTGAAGCATCTTGACATTATTAGGGACTTAACTCTGAACAAGAGAACCCAGGGTATCCCAATTTGAGAACTCGGTAGCGACAAAGCACCACTGATGTTGGGGAAGACCGGATACGGTATCCATTCTGGTATACTCGTATCCCAGCTCTTAGCCCCTGACTGTGCCAGCTGTCTCGGGGTAGCGCTTCCCTTGGTTGTCACTAACTCCAGACAACTTTTCTCTGCGGGTTTTGGTACGGAATACGCGCACAGCCGGCGGTACTTAGAACCAGCGTAAGAGCGGGAAAGTAAAGTATTCGAGCGCATTCTGAAAGCCATAGTATGTAAACTGCTCTTGAGACTTAGATGTAACAGCGTGGAGGGCGAGAATTGTGCTCTCGAAAAGCTCTGCTGATGTAACTTGCTCTACTTAGATAGATAGAGCCCTAACTATCTATGCGGCGTGTCTTACTATATTGTATGAGAAAGTCAGTCCTTTGATCTGCCTTGCGATTATCTGTATGGTATGTAATAGTAATGGCTCAGTGCATTGATTAGTGTTCTTTCAAGGTATGAGCATTTCGTTTCCCGCTGCTAAATCCGTAGGGCTTGGATAAGCTCATCGATGGTGCCTTAGCGAGCATTGATACTAAGTAAACCCTAGTGGCGAAGATAATCTATTCAAGGGCGGCATAAATGATACTTGGTTCAAGGGCTTTGAGGGAGTGCATACTGACAACCTTAAATGGGTACCATATGTGTACCTATCCAGGAACCATACCCTAGTCTGCCCACAGAAAGAATAGTATTATTTTAATATCCACCTACTCCGTACGTTTCTGTGCTCATTTCCCATATGCCATCCTTGCCTTATTTCGTTCTGTGCTCCCTTCATGGTGTCAGATGGTGAGTTCCGTCTACCACTGAAACCCTTAGCAGGTTTTACAGTATGATTCATGGTCAGCTATCATCTTTTAGCAGCAAGCATTCTTGAACAATATCCTGTTATTGTTACCTGGAGCTATAGCTTCGGACACCATGTAGGTAGTAATTCTCAGTTTCTTTTTGTCTAGGTCTGAGGGAACGACAGTCCGTGACCGAGTCTTGGGATTGATACCTGATGTCTGTCCCTAGAGATTCAAGCGCATGAATAGTGTCAACACTCAATCTCTGGCTTGCTGATGGCCGTCTCGGTAGAGGTGTGACGCACTGCTGATGTTACTCAGCCTCGCAAACCCATGCTATACTTGTTGTACGATTGTACAAGTCGGCGCTGCATTAGTATCAGTGAAGGCAACAGCACTGTGTTTCCTGGATACGTTTGCGAAAAGGCCCCCGATTCCAAGATCCATGTCTGGGCTTATAGGCCTATATCCCACTTTTATAACCATGGAAGGTACGAGCAGACTACAGCCAGTAATGCGCGAGTTCAACTTGGAGGCCGATAGTTGTACACCAAGCGCGATGCGAATAGAACATTCGGCACATCAGCCGGATAGTTAGGGGATATGCTACTCTGTCTGATGATTACGCTACCGCCTGACTCAGTAGCTAGGAGTCCAAGGTCCTGCGTTCCTTTTAAAGTGGTCACTGCATAATGATTTTTTGTGGCAACTTATTGTCTGACCTCGGGAATAGTTCGGTCGTTCAGTTCTAGTCACCAGTAAGAGTCTCGAGAAACATTGTTCAAAAGGTTGGTCAGGAACATACTTTCGCAGCTCATATTATCTTGCTTCAAACCTTGGAAGCGCAGAACATGGACATTTAGAGTTGCAGTTCCTGGGGAGGAGACCCTTAATGCCTTAATGCTCAGGTGTCGACTGGATCACCGGCCCCGCCCATGACGGCGATCCCGTGGCCAGACTCCAGCCGGAGCTTTGGCCAACCAGGGACTAATGACGACGCACACGCGGAATATCGTCATTCCTGTTGGCTTCCAGTTCCTATCCTCGTCTTCGCCTCTTTGCTCGTCTTCCCTCCTTCAGCGCCCCGTGCTCGCTTCTAGTCCGTCTGATTGTTTATCCCTCAAGCACTGGTCCACGGTCATGCGCGTTGGACGTTGACGGTCACTGGTGCATTTGTGTCTCTACCCCAACCCATCCAAACTTCGTCTAGGTACGACCCAGCGAGTCGGTCGTGAAGATAACCTGGTGCCGGAAGCAGAGGTAAGGCTATAAACCCCGCTTTCTCGATAAAGCTTTCATGTCTTGATCTCTTCGTTCTTTCTTTCATATTGCCTGTCACCTTCTTTCACCGCCACCGCTTTGCCTGCGAGTAACCTGTCTACATTTCACAGCGGAATTTGTACCAGCGTGAAGTATGGGCTTGCTAACTCTCTCCCGTTTCCTCAGTCGGTCATACCCGCACGACAGCCGCCACGGCCCTACGATATTCTCGTTTCAACAGAAACTCATCATGGACGAAGGCGGAGTCCATCAGCGAAGAACGTCGGACGCAAAGGGCGGAGAAACGCCCGAGCTACACCCTGCGGCTTTGGAAGATATATTGGACTCTGAATCAGACTACTTCTCCCCTCCGGGCTCCCCATCTACCAGACCTCGCCTGTCGCGCAACTCCTTCTCCTACCAAGATGACTGGGAAACGTTTCCACCGCTCGACCAGCTCACTGTTTTCGACCTCCTAGACAATCTGTCTCTGTCGCAGAGGCTCGAGAGGCTGCAACGCTCGCTCAACTCGCAAAGAGAGAAGGTCAAGAAGCAGCAGGAAAAGCTACGATCAACCTCGAAGAATGCCAGAGACCGGGTCGTGGGCGAATGGAAGCGGAGAGTACCCACCGCCGATGAGCAGCTGGAGAAATACCGTCGTCGGATGAAGACCGGAGTAGAGCGCCTGTCGCAGCGATGGAACGCAGCTGCTGCGGTCACCCTCCGTGAGAAGATCTCGTTTATAGCGGGTGTACTCAACATCTTCATCAGTGGATACCTGCTTGGATCATTTCCTGAGTACTTCTACATCTGGTTCAGCGCACAGCTCGCCTACTTTATGCCGATCCGATTCTACAGATACCACGCGATAGGCTATCACTATTTCCTGGCGGATCTCTGTTACTTTGTCAACGTGCTTTGCATGCTCTCCATCTGGGCGTTCCCGCAGTCTAAGAGGCTCTTCATCAGCACTTTCTGCTTGACCTTTGGTAACAATGCAGTTGCAATTGCCATGTGGCGAAACTCCATGGTCTTCCATAGCATGGACAAAGTCGTCAGGTATATTTCAAACATTCCTAGTCTAAACTTCGATCAACTAACTTTGTCAGTCTCTTCATCCACATTATGCCTCCGGTGACCCTTCATTGCCTTGTCCACCTTACGTCCTTGGACGTGTTGAAGGAAAGGTTTCCGGCCATATACGATATCAAAACGAGCGAGCCTGGCTCTCCTGAGCATTTCGGACTATTCTCAATGATGATCTGGGCGACTGTTCCGTACATGATCTGGCAAATGTCCTACCACTTATTTATCACCGTCCGCCGTGCAGATAAGATCGCAGCCGGCCGCCCAACAAGCTTTACCTGGCTCCGCAAATCGTACGCCAAGGCTTGGATCGGTCGACTTGTCCTCAGCCTCCCGGAGTCACTCCAAGCCCCCGCATTCATGATGATCCAATATCTCTACGCCCTGCTGACCATGATCCCATGTCCAATCTGGCTCTGGTCCCGGTGGGCCAGTGGAATATTCATTACCGGCCTTTTCATCTTGAGCATACACAACGGAGCCACGTACTATATTGACGTGTTCGGCAAGCGCTTCCAGAAGGAGCTCGAGCAGTTGAAGAAAGAAGTTGCTCAATGGCAGTCTAGTCCAGAGGGAGCGATGGCTCCGATAACTCCTGGAATGGCTGCCGCCGCCGCTCATCCAGACGGGAAACAGTCCGACTATACGTCTGCCAAGGGCAGCCACGACAACGCCAACATTGAGAAGATTCCCCTTCTGGATTCCACTGGGGTTTCGACTGCCATCGAGGGCGGCACACGGAAATGAACAATCGGCCACTTACCAACGACCACGTGCCACCGCTAGACATCGCAATGCCTACAATATATGGCATGCATGTCTGTCGCTGAGGTACAAGGGCGATGGTGATTCTTATGAATGATGCAAGCAATCATCCATTTGAGCTCCACTATGACGGATGAGCAGTCTGCCAACCATTCGAGATACTGCAGTCTTTTCAGCAACACCACTACCCTAATGCCCCCGTTTTCTATCCTGGAGTATTACATGAAATTCTTGTCGCATTTAGATGGTCACCATGATACCCAACTTCTTTATCCGGTCGTTCCTTCGTTATAGCCTTTGCTAATTTCGCTCGTTTGATTTGCGATTTATTTATGAAGACATGCTTTGACAATGACCCATTCGCTTACATTGCTTATTATTTTTCTCCTCGTTCGAATACAGACAATTAGACTGATGATATAACTGCATACATTGTTGGCTGTTGCTATAGTTAGCCCGGGTTAGTACGCTAAATGTGGGAGTCTCAGGATCTAGTGCCCATTTGTTTCTAGGCATTCTGCTTGGCGTTAGTTTAACCATATCTCCGCTCGTCTACTCCGTGGTAGATGGAGTACATACTACTAGATGCAAATATATATGGCTGATATCAGCCATGATAACCTTACCTCCGCCTACCGAGAGATCGAAATAGACTTAGTACTGTAAGAATGCCCAGACGGGGATATAGGCTGGGGATAATTAGTCAAGCCCGACTATGACAGGAACAGCTGCTGCTTGGGGCTTGCTCCTTGTCTTGGGCCTTTTCGCTCTCGCTTCCTACTCGTCCGCTCGCGTTCGTTCTGCCATGGCCGCATAGATCTACCATTGTAGTATATATTCAACACACTCCCTCTTTCGAAATGATTATTATCATCAACAACCATCACTCACCATGTCCTCTTCCATCCTCATCACAGGCGGCACCGCCGGCCTAGGCTTCCACTGCACCGTCGCTCTGGCACGCCAATACCCGAACCACCACATCACCATCGTCTCCCGCAGCGACCCTAACGACGCAGCCGGCACAATCAACCGCATTACCGGCCAAAATAACGTACGATACCAGCGCCTCGACCTCGCCAGCTTATCGCAAGTGCGCCTCTTCGTCAAGAAATGGGCCGAGGACAACAATTCCCCCATCACGCACCTGCTCTTCAACGCAGGCCTCCAGTTCCCCAACGAAGTGAGCTACACGGAGGACGGCTATGAGAAGACCTTCGCCATCAACCATCTCGGCCATGCACTGCTGTTCTCCCTCCTTACTCCGCATCTCGCCCAAACGGCCCGCATTGTCGTCACCGCGAGCGGGACCCACGACCCGGAGCAGAAAACGGGCATGCCCGATGCCGAGTATACCTCCGCCGAACAGCTCGCTCGTCCAACGGGCGAGTCTCTCAATCTCCCCGGCCGTCAGCGCTACACGACCAGCAAGCTCGCTAACATCCTCTGGACATACGCGCTCGAGCGCCGCCTCGCTGATCTCCGTAACAGGGGCGGCACGGATTACAAGAATTGGACCATCGCAGCCTTCGACCCCGGCATGGTCCCTGGCACTGGTCTCGCGCGTGACGCGGGCGGGCTGATGAAGTTCGTCTGGACGTATGTTCTTCCCCGTGTTCTACCCTTGCTTCGGTTGTTGGTGATGCCGAACATCCATTCTGCGGAGGAGTCCGGGCAGAGTCTTGCTTGGGTAGCCGGGGATGCGGAGGTTGCGAAGAAGAGTGGGCTTTACTATGAGGGGACGGAAGAGATCAAGTCGAGTAAGGAGAGTTATAGTAAGGAGAAGCAGGAGGATTTGTGGGAGTGGACTGTCAGGAATCTTGCTGGGGGGTTGGAGGAGAAGGCGTTGTTTGAGTTGAAGGGGTTGAACTGAGATTTTTGCTTGTCTGCTTTGGGTACATGTTCTGATACTTGTTTGTGAATATGGCATGTTGTTTGTATAGTAATTAATGAGTTGAAATGAAGATATGGAAGTCCACTTACGTGCATGGGGTTCAAGCGTAGATTATATTTCAAGCCAGAGCAGAGTAGCGGGGTATATTCAAATGACGCCACGTAGGTCATTTCCATAAGGTCCCCAAATCGCGCAAAGCAGGGATCTAAAGGTGAAGGCTTTTTGTTGAGGGTCAAGCACTTTCACCTGCTGGTGCTATGTACAACATTGAGAGGGATTTCAGATTCGGCTGGGAGCCTCGGGAGGCTATCCGAGGCCGAAAGACGCAATTCGCACCGCCATGTAGATTTGGGGATAGCCGAGGGACAGAATGGAATGCACCTGGAAGATAAATGGCCAGCCTTTGCGAGCGATGGCCAATAAGTTGGTTTAGTGAGGCACACGGCCAGTTGCAAATCCCGAGATTGGGCCGGAGTGCAAGGAGAAGTGCCCGTGGAAAAGGCCTGGCCCGATCGGAGAATACACGTAACTCCGGGTCACGTGGCCAGCGCCTCCGCTGCTTGCGGACTTTCTTGCAAATGAGCTGGCGGACACATCATTGCCTGTCATTCATCGCATCTCCATTCATCGATCTCGCCCATACCAGCAATTCGTTCGAGTGCTCTAGGACTTGCCGCTAGAGTTGTTGTGTCTATTTATTGTTCCAGCTCGCTCATCTGAGCATCCAAGCATCCGCCATGTCTGCCAGTATGAGGTCCGCTCGCCTTGTGCGCACCAACCCCGTGCTGAGGCCCAACTCCATCGGTGAGTTTATCTTTGAGCGACTCTCTATGCATATTATTGTGCGCTTCTAGGTTGCTGATACGTATCTTGCTTTGGCAGCCCGACAGCGCTATGTCGGAGCTCTAGGAGCGGCCGCAGCTGGCCTCCGCTATAACAGCCGAAACTTCCCCTCTCAAGTAACAGCCCTTGCCATTCTCGTTCCGAAGCGCGGGTACTCCACAGAACAATCAACAAACACATCCGGGCCGTCGAACCTGCCGCCCCCTGGTTTCAACGCGGAGCAGGCCAAGAAGCCCATCCCCGTCGACCAGGCGCAGTCCGCCAGTGCGAAGGCGAACCAAGAGACAAACCCCAAGGGAGCGCTCTCCGTCCAGTCGCAGAATGTTCAGAGTACAAGCAAGCAGAGCGATCTGGTAAAGAGCGCTGCGGAGGAGAAGGACAAGAAGGGTGGCGAGGAGCCGAAGAAGGAGGCGAAGAAGTTGACGATCGGGCAGAAGATCAAGAAGGAGGTTCAGCATTACTGGGATGGCACAAAGCTCCTTGCGACCGAGGTTCGCATTAGCTCCCGGCTGGCACTGAAAATGGCCGGTGGTTATGAGCTTAGCCGGAGGGAGCACAGACAGGTTGGTTTCTACTGCCTGGTTTGAGTTGACATGCTGACGTTTTAGCTTAAACGAACTGTGACGGACCTTGGCCGGTTGATTCCGTTCTCCATGTTTGTCATCATCCCATTCGCGGAACTTCTGCTGCCCATCGCTCTCAAGCTGTTCCCCAACCTCCTACCCAGCACATACGAGGGCAAGTCCGCCCGGGAGAAGAAGGCTCTGAGCCTGAGCTCTACCCGAAAGGAGGTCTCTACCTTTTTGAAGAACACTCTGAAGGAGTCTGGTCTTCCTGTGACGGCGGCGAGTGTAAAGAACGAGGAGTTTGCCGAGTTTTTCAAGAAGATCAGGACCACCGGCGAGACGCCCTCGGCTGAAGATGTCATCAAGGTGTGCAAGATCTTCAAGGATGATCTTACTCTCGACAACTTGTCCCGACCCCAGCTGGTTGGTATCTGCAAGTACATGAACCTCAACACATTCGGCACCGACGCCATGCTCCGGTACAACATCCGTCACCGCATGCGCCAGATCAAGCGCGACGACCGTGCCATCTTTTACGAAGGTGTTGAGTCTCTTTCCGTGCCTGAGTTGCAGATGGCCTGTGCCTCCCGAGGTATCCGCACCCACGGTGTCTCGCCCGCCCGCCTGCGCGAGGATATTGGTCAGTGGCTTGATCTCCGACTGAAGCAGGGCGTTCCCTCGACACTGCTAGTCCTCAGCAACGCCTATGTTTACGCACAGGGCGGTAAGGAGGCGGAGATGTCTTCTCAGATCGAGTCCCTCCAGGCGGTTCTGTCCAGTATTCCTGAGGAACTCTTCCACGAGATCGAGCTCGAGGTTCACAACGCCGAGGGCGCTGCTACCAACAAGCAGCGTCTAGAGGTCATCAAGGAGCAGCAAGAGCTCATCGACGAGGAGAACCAGCAGAACAGCGAGAACGAGGAGAAGGGTGTGGCCGCACCCAAGGACACCGAGGACATTGACGAGGAGAACAAGTACGAGACCAGTCAGTCTGGCGAGGCGTCCGAGGCTATGGAGGAGGGCGAGAAGGCCGAAAAGGCTTCCGAGCCGGCAGTGCAGAACGAGAAGAAGGAAAACAAATAGGTTAGCTCTTCTTCTATTACCTTCTTGTTTGTGTTATGTTGTACGATAGACTTGTTTTGCACCCACCACTGTCTACTCTTTATTTCCTTATGTTTTATAGATGGGAGGAGCGAGGGTTATTGATTTGACATCTGAAAGATGGCGGTTGGAGCGTCATCGTTGGACGATAAATGGCGGATTTACTGCTACTGGATATGTACCTGAACAATATATGGACTGTATATTCTTCTATCCATTTCATTCATATCTATGGACGATATGAGAATGTCCGTCATACTCGACGGTTGTAAATCCGCCTGTTCGGTTCCACAGCCTCAGCCAACTCCGCAACCTCGGCCCAACCTCCCACCCAGCACTCTCCATCCCCTCCGCACCCAATCATCTCCTTCCAGCAATTATTAAACCAGGCACTCGGTCCTTTTTAGAATCTTCGTCGTAAAAGCATGCGAGGAGCGCCGTTTCTCCGCGCCCTACGCACCCATCGCCCTTCCAGCGCCAGGCCCAGCCCCAACCCCATACTCCGTTCATCTTCGTTCTCCACACCCCGATATCGTCATCCATCCAGCCCTCGGTCAAGCTCAACAACAACATCACGGAGAGATATGCCCCGTCTGAATGCCGCTTCGCAGGTAAGTCCGCCTGTTCAACGGCTACACGCCTAATCAGGTTATTCGTGCCTTGATTCGCATGATTCTAACATGCACAGGAAGCAATCAACCGCCTAAGAGCGTTTAACCCCCCACCGACCAGCTACGACCTCGTCCCGCTGTCGCGCCGCGCAGCAGTCCTGCTTCTGCTGTATGCGGATGCGAACGGCGATCTGAGGGTTGTGTTGACGATTAGGGCGAGCACGCTTAGCTCTTGTATGTCTTCCCTTCACTTCAGCTAGACTGTGCCACTGCCTCTTGTACTGGAAGCAGCTCCTGCTACCCAGCATAGGTTAGGGCTAGCTTGATCCGACTTGACGCTTACTCTCAATACAGATGCAGGACAGGCTGCTTTACCCGGTGGTGAGCCGCGCACGATAATAATGCTTGTAACCTGCATACTAAACATGGAATCGCCAGGAAAATCCGACTCTCTATCCGAAACACCCCTCCAAACCGCGCGGCGCGAGGCGCACGAGGAAATCGGGCTGCCGAGTCTAGACCAGCCCCTTCCACACCCCTTCAGCGTAGAACACCTCTGCGAGATCCCGTGCTCGCTGGCAAGGACGGAACTTGTTGTTCGTCCTTGTGTAGCGCTTTTACATACATTCGACGAGAAGACGGCTGAAAACGCGGATCCGGAGATCACGCTTATTCCAAGACTTGATGCGAGAGAGGTTGCGGCTGTTTTTACGGCGCCGTTTAGGGATTTTCTGTCCCTGAAGCCGGTTGGTGATGGGAGGGGGAGACCGGGACTGCACGTGGAAGGGGCGGAGAAGGGGGATGAGGGGTGGTATCGGGGCGTTTGGAATGAGTTCAAGGGGACGCAATGGAGGAGTACGTTATCTGTCCCCCGCTGCCTCCCCTTTCTTCATACGAAAGGCAAGAATGCTAACATACGGCGACAAGTGCACCAATTCTTCGTCCCCGTCAATCCAGAGCGGGTCGTGAAACCGCGTCCGCACCACGAGGCGCAGGAAGAAGCCGTTCAGAAACTAAAGCAGCAAGAGGAGAGGCAGCACCGACAACACCAAGAGGACTCAAAGTCTGTCACCCGGTACAGAGTCTTCGGCATGACGGCACGGATCCTCGTCGATGCCGCCCGAATCGCGTACAACGCTCAGCCGGAGTTCGAGCATAATACGCATTCGGGCGATGAGGAGTTGATCGCGAGGTTGAGGAGGAGGGGTAAGTTAGGGCCGAAGATTTGATTTACTGCTGGACTAGACGGATGACGGATCTCGCGGGATGCCGCGTGTTTAGAGTGGATTGGGTGGCTGTATATACTACCGTATAGAACTGGACTGCATTAGCAAGGAGAGCGGGTACCAGCGTGGCATAGCTATGGTAGAATGCATTCTGCATAGTCTTGTTCGGTCTAGGCTTTGCGGGGGGTGAGCTTTCCAGGAAGCAAGCGGCACTCCACTTGACTCCGCTTCGACTATGGAGTAGATGAGCGTTGCTATCGCAGGAAGAACTAGAGGACGGACTTCTAAGGTGGGTATCTACGTTACCGATTTGACTGAAGCACGTCTAATGAATTAGGGCTTGACCCCTGGACCGCCAACAAGGCGTTCCTTGCTGAAGACTTCCAGTATCTTAGATCTCGTCCACCTTAACCCAGGTACAAATGGCGGTTGATTGGAGACCCCAGCCGAGGCTAGCCCTATGACCTCCGTACCTTTACAAAGTCCAAGGTTAAGCAGCAGCTAGGCAGTTCTGCACCTAAGCGCCCTCCAGCTGGGCCACGCACGTTGCAGCTGTAAGAACCTTACCTTAGCACAGCACCCGCTAACCCATTCCCATCTCTTCTCTTGCAGTTGAGTTGGACTGTGCTCTGCTCGATGCAGCAGCGCAGTGCGGACCTGCAGTTCGCAGCGACCCGTAGCACCGCCGTGAGCAGCCCGCAGCCATAGCCCAGCTCGCAACTCCCAGATCCCGAAGACCCCGCTGGTTGGCTGGCTGGTTAGTCCGTAACCTTATGACCCAGGTGGATGAGGACGTGTATGGCTGACAAGGCAAATGCCGCAGACGGATAATGCACGCACCCGAGACGCATACATAGCCTGGCCTTAGCCTTAGCCCTTGCTGGACCCCGAGCCCGCGTTACACAAAGCCTCCTGTGTACGGCGAGTCGGCGACTGGGCAGCGTGCGCCGCCAATTCCCTGTTTTCCTACTGGTCTCGGGCTTCACTCGATAGAGTCGATACGCTTACGCAGCCGGCCTAACCCGGTCAGGACAATGAACGGGAATTCATCCGTGGATATGAGAGGCCATTCGTCCTTAAGCCTTAAGGCCTCCAGCTGGGCTGAGAGGGCTGGGCTGGGCTGGGATTGCTGGGCGCTACACAGCAGGTCGTCAGCTCCGCTCTGTTTCGCCCGTTGCGCTGCAGTTCCTGGTTAAGGTTCCGAGCTGCAAGTTTGCTAGAACCAAATGCACCTGCACCGTCGTGAACTTGCCCAGTGCGCCGGTAGCAGTAGCATACATCGTATTAGATTGAGCTGTCGATGCACTTGCAGGCCGCCATGAGGCCCAAGCTCCTTTCCTTTTCTTCAGTTGAGTGTTGCACTTACACTTACACTTCCATCGTAGCCGTATGCTTGTGGACCGGTAGCGGGTAGCCTGTGCTGCTGCTGCTGCAACGTGTATGGCTACGCGGGATAGGGGTATCCCGGGTAATTTCTCGCTGGAATGGAAGTAGTGGATTTTTATTTTTATTGCATTGCGTCTGGTGACTGGTTTGAGCTCGGTCGCTGTGGTCGGGGCAAGCCTTGTCAAGAATTTGCGTGCATTGCTGCCCTAGGAGGTGAATGCGTGGGTGGGATCAACATATGCCGTCGTCCCTGGACTGCAACTGCGATGGAGCTACTCCGTACGTGAGCGTGAGTCTGCAGAAGTGCCGCTGCCGCTGGCGCTGACGAACGCTGATGGACGGTAGCAGCGCAGCATTTAGGGTGGTTACACGAGGATGAAGGGTGTCTCGGACGGATGGCAGAGTTCGTTTTGTCTCAGTCGGAGATTATGAGACACTTCTTCAGCTGCCGATCGTAATGATGACCGTGATCGTGATCAGAAGCTTATGGCTTGGCAGACATTGCAAGACTCGCTGTTTTAACTTTTGGTGCATGTGTAAGTGGCGTTTTTGACATTCGGGATTTAGGTACTGGCCGGGGCTGTCGGTGTCAGTTAAACTCAGTTTCTGCCAGCGTGGATCAGTCAGTGTCTTACCTGGGGTTCGGATAATCATGAGACATGGACTCACATCCGTGAGCTTGATTCGACTGGCTGGGTTTTGAAATGGTCTCTGCAACGGTAGTGTCTCTCGAAACCGTTGGTTGTGTCTAGGAGATATTTTAAAACAGACTGCTGTTCAACCATGGAAAGTGGATGGGATGTCGCAAACGGTCGATGATCATTTTAGAACAGTAGTAGTAGTGAAACTAGATGGCTAAGCTAAGTATGGACAAATGCAAGTTGTAAATCCCAAGACATGCCGCCTATTAACACCATGACACCAGGCTAGCTATATAAAAAAAAAAAAGCGAGTAAACCCAATTCAAAGCAAATAGGTATCAATGGAGGATATCCGGCGGATGGGGACGATGACGATGACGATGACGCTGAATAAAACACAAGCAAAAAGCAGGAGTCGAGTGATCTGAGTCAACGATGGAGGAGGAAGAATGTGAAACAAAAAGAAGTGTTCGACAAAGAGAGACTGACGTAATGAATCAGATCCAAGGATCGCTTCCGTGAGAATACGGATTGACCGGCCCAATCAGCCGGATCTGGGACTTCAGCTCCGTCCGCTTCTTATCCAGCTTCGCTTCGGATGCGTTGCCGGATCCCGAGTGGATGATCTTCTTTCTCGCCCCGTCAATCGCGACGAGCACGTGGCTGGTTCCGTCTTGTAGGACTTTCACCGCGTGCCGGGTTCCCTGATGTAGGCCGGACCCTGACCCTGAAACTAGGGCTGGCGAGGAGGCCGAGGGCTTGGGGTTGAGGGGTGACACAGACAAGGCAGCGTTATCCCTGATTGACGATTCCCGACGTCCACTGTTCCGGTATTTTGGGAACCGCACGCGTGGGGTCTGGCGAGGGTAGCTGAGCCGTTTCTTCTCCTTGCCCGATTTATCCCAGATAGCGGCGCCGTAGCGTTGATAGAGGGAGGTTGGGACGGCGGGTTGCTTGTTCGGGGGCACGGGCATTTCGAGGTGGCTTTCTCTTTCCAGTGCGATAAGTGACTGGTCGGAGATCGTGGAGCCGGTTGGGGTGCTGGTGAGGGAGATGTCTGTGTTGGACACCGCTTGCTTCTCGCAGTGGCCGACACACAGCGGGTCTGCGCTGGTATGGCTGTACGGTGTGAAGCTGTCGCGGTCGGCGTCGGGTAACGGGGCTGTTTGGCTTCGAGGCGATGGGTCGACTGGGTACGGACTGCGGGGGTATACGACTGGGTTCGGGGCCGTTGTGGGCCGCTGGTTTTCCTTGGACTTTTCCTTTTCGAGGGAGTGGCGCGAGAGACGGCGCTGGATGTAGCGGAAGGAGTTGCGGACGTCGTTAGCTATCGCTGCTCCGGTTTCCGACGGTAGAGCAATCCATCGTGAGCGTCCACTGTCCTTCTTGCGTGGGCGCGGGGCGTTTGTGCAAGTGCGGGGTGAGTTGTGATTCTGGGGTAAACCCGACGGAGCGAGTTCAGGGAAGAAATCCCACTTCTTCTCGCGGAAGTAGTGATTCGGGCCAGCTTGGGGAGTTGGATTCCAATGCGGCTGCGGCGTAGGACCAGTATACCCCGGCGGTGTTTCCTCAGTGTTCAAGAAAGTAAGTCTGGGGACAGTCTTCTGGTGGATCTCATGGTGATATGGGTCTGCGGATGGAGACGCGGTGCGGTCCAGCGGGGAGACGGAGACGGGGACGGAGGGATCGACGAAATCGGGCAGATCGGCCGAGCCTGACCGGACGAAGACGGGGTAACTCTCGGCGGTCCTTGGCCTGGACACGCTGTGGTCGTCGTCGAAGCTGTTGACGGTGCTGCTGTCGTCGCTCCAGGCGGTTGAGCCGATGAACGGTGTTGGCGGGTTCTCGGGGAGGTCGGGCAGAGGCTTGTCCAGGTGCAGGCGGGAGACGGTGTGGGCGTAAGGGACGGGGAGGCCAGGGGGGATGACCTTCTCCATGCCTTCGAGAGACTGCGAGGGCTGGACGGGAGGGGCTGGCCTCGAGAGCGAGCAGGTCGAGGGGGACAGCATCGTGAGGTCTCTTGATCCCCCTCTAGATAGGAGGAGGAAGGGAGGAGGAGAAGATAAGTTGGGGAGGAGACGGTCGAGCACAGATAAGCCAATCCGTCAGGTCGCTTGGGTTGGTATGCTGGCGCAGCTGTGTGACAGCGGAGGCTGAGGACCAAAAATGGGAGTCGGAACGAGGCACCTGCACCTGCAGTTATATTTGTTTTTTCTGGCAAGGCGAGCTATTCCTCGCTACAAAGAGTTGAAACCGTGGAAGGGCGAGTCAAAGCCTTAAAGGACGCGGACAGCAGAATCAAAGCAGGAATATTAATAAAAACAGATGGTTGAGCGATGGGGAAGGAAGCGTGAGGTAACACGATGCAAGGGAGTCTCATCCTCCTCGCTCAGGCTGCGCTCTCCATTGCCATCCGGCCGGATCGCTGCTGGCCTGTCAGCACGCCTTTCTGGAATCCTAGAATCCTAGACTAGCCGGGATACGAGCCTTGAGTCCTTGACCAGACTACTGTAAGTCAAAGTTCGCCAGCCAGTCAAATGGGTACCCAGCCGGCAAAAGCCGTGGAGAACTAAATCGGAACGCAGACAAAGAAAGCGTTCGCTTGAGAATTAGAGCTGACCGAATCTGATCGGTCACACGTCGCCCTTCTCCCATCCAACCGCCATCTTTGTCCTGATCCACATGGACGCGGCATTCTTTGTCTGCCACGCTTTTCTCCCTACGTGCCATGTTTCCTGACGCCTCGATCGATTATTCTCGGGTCAGGCCAGGGCCGCCAGGCACGCCGCACGATGAGAAGGTGACCCAGGCTGGAATCCCCGTGGTCTTGATTTTGAGTCAGGCAAAGCCCAAGCGCAGCACTGGGCATCCGTTCAGAACTTCAGGGGGGAAAAGCAAGTGCCATAGTGCAGGACTAGACGGACTAGCGTAAGGCAAAGCGATCGTCTCCGCAAACAATCTATTAATCTGAATGACAAACAACGTCCGCTCATGATCTTCACTCTAGTCTAGTCCGACTCTGGCTCTCGGCTCGCTCACCGAGTCAAAGGCTCCACAATTAAGATTAAGTCAATGGATCTCATATGTGTCAATCCAGGATCTCCATCTCAGAACCGGTTTCCATCTCGCTCTTGACATTTATATGATGCAATTACGCAGCGTCTTCTTCTCCCGTGTTTGTTGACGATGCTGCAAAGCCTGCCGACTTGATCCTGCGAATGTACATGTCCGCATGTAGACTACATCTGTTCCTTGCCTTGCCTTGCTTAGCCCTGTGCTTGTGTCGGTGCTAGATCCGCCTGTTTGGTAGGTACCCGACCTGAGCCAGTCCAGTTCATCGGATCCAGAGCTCGAGCCTTCGCACTGCGTACATACAGTCCGCGCTAGCACGAGCACTTGCAGTTATAGGAAAGAATTGCAACCCAGCCGACTTGCTGTCTGTTTCGTGCATTGCTTATCACCCACCCAGTCGGCAAACAACTCAAAAAAGAAGCAAATCCGTTCAGCTCCGGCTCGCTCCTGGCTGCCTCATGAATCCTTTGGCTCCGCCGGGAATCGCGACTCCGACTGTTCGTTTGACTTTGACTGATTCAGGAGGTAAAGGATCGATAACCTGGGCAAGAAAGAGCGGCTGGCGTCCTATTTTATTTCAATAGTATCGGCTCTTTGTTCTGCTAGGCCTATCGGATTGTGTGGGCTTGAATGTGGCCAGTGGCCAGCGGCCAGTGCCATCCGTGACCTGCTTGGGCTCGGGCTTCAAGGTTGGAGACCGTGCATGGATCCCTGGGTAACTCAATACAGTATGCAGTTCGTGAGGCTGTCTGTGGTGGAACAGTGAGATTGGCTTCTACCTCGCGAAGTGATTCGCTTGATCGTTAGAGTGGGTAAATATTGACAGAGGGGCATTGGCAGAGCACGTTAAATGAGACAAACCGTTGGTATTCTAAGAATATATCTGTGTTGCCAAGTCTAACCTTGTACTCCGTACGACATTAAAGAACGAGGTGGATGACTTCAAGCTCGAAGCGACACGACCGGGACCCGCTTGATGTAGAGCCAAAACCCCAGCTGCTTGTCTTCACATACCTGCACATCTATAACCCTGACAAGGACTAGAGGCCAAATGGAAGATTAGGTATCTTATGAGCTATAAAGCTACCCGTATAGCGCCCGAGCAGATGTCTCTGCGCTGAGAACCATGGGTCTCTTTCGGCACTTGACTCCTGCACCCTTCCATCATCGCCCGGGGCGAAGGTAAATGATAGCTGACCGATATGAAGCCATTCCAGGTGCTTGAAGAGAAGAGAGTACCTTGACGCGTGATGAGCCATACGCCGACGGTGCGCTTGCTCCAGGCCGTTGTCGGTTTGGTAGGAGTCACGGGTGAAGATGAGTTTTCTCAGTCTGTGCAAGGTACATAGGCGTTTTTGTATGACTTCGTGGTCAACAAACCATTCATGCCTCCATCCGTACCGTTGACCAGAACTTATATGTAGTTCTTCCAGGCTCGTGAGGTAAGATAGAGCGTCAAGTGACAAGTTGTCGATTGAAGTACCCCTCCATTGCAATGAAAGCACCTTGAGACTTGAACATGTTCCAAGGGCAGAAAGTACCTCGTGCTGGAAGGGTGCAGAGAAATCCATGTAAGTAACGAAAGCTCGCAGCTGAGGACTGACTTTCAAAAAATGTACAGTGGCTGGCCGAGCGATAGGAGGACTATCACCGTACCAAACAAGCGTTTGAAGTGACTTTAGCTGGTCAATCTGCTCCAGACACTCTGCTGTCAAGTGCCGGTCTGGATCAATGAACAAAGTAGAAAGATGTTCACTCTGCAAAAGCCTTTGTAGAGTAGATGGGCAGATAATGATGCCAGCCCCGATACGAAGAAACTTCAAACGGGGAAATTCTGCGGTGAAGGTTATCGGCTTGCCTAATTTGCCTTTTTGCAGGTCTTTTACCACCAGTATTTCTTGGTTGAGCGTTAGGCTTTGCAGCGTGGATGAGCATGCTCGGAATAGGCTATCCCAGAAGCCAAAGGAGTATAAATCATGCGCTTCATGATCCATGAATCTCAATCTGATGTCGATATCGAGACTCTCAAGTGGCCAGGAAGCGCCCTCCTCCATTCGGATCATGGTGATGTCCGAGCCGATATATCCATGTAGCCTTACATGCCGCAGATGCTTGACTCTTGAGTTCGCCACCAGATTCAGGAATGTGCTGTCGATTGCAACTAGATTCGGCAAATCCAAGATTTCGAGGCGAGGTAATAGAGGGACTAGTTGGGCCAACGTAGAATCAAAAGAGCTTTTGCTTCTGGTGTGATAGTCTCCAATTGCTTCAATCCAATTCGCCATGATCGAACGAAGTTCCTCCTCAGGAGCAGGATAGTTATCGGCACGCTTTTCAGGTCTTGTTGCCTGAGTCTGCAAGTCAAACTTCAGCTTCGCCCTTATGCAGCGGATGCATGCCCCTAGGGATGGCCGCTTCATACGGCCGCCTTTCGAATCACGGCGTTCCAGAGTCTCAACCAAAAGTTTATCAAGAAGGGCGTTCGACTTTTGACTGTAATCAAAAACGACGGTTCGGAACTGGCAAGAACGTGCGAGCTGACGGCAGTCTGAATTGACGAGCGCGAGAGAGGCGAGAGTGTTCTTGTCCGATTCAATATAACTAACGATAGAAAGCAATAGCTCCACCGGGAGCCTCAGCAGGCGACTGTCCTCTGCGGCAATTCGCCTGCCTTCCATCACCCGATCAAATGACAATGGCGAAGGCACAAAGTCTTTCTCAAGTGGGTGTTGAAAGTCCATCCTGATGGTTGAGGTTCGGCTTCAAAGGTTAGAGAGAGTTTCAAAGGCTCTCTGTGCTGGGAGGCATCTTAGAAAATAACGGGGAGTAGCGGGGGGGCACGATACTGGCAGGGTAGGCGCCTACCCGGAGCGTCTTGGACTCGACCTGCCACCTCTACAGCACACTGCGCTATATTTGTTGGACATATTCATTTGTCCTGAGCACCTCATTTTAGATCCTCGAGACTCCCGCCCAGTCTTCTTGGGAAGATCAATCGGATGCCCCAGATACCAATGTCTGGTGCATGCTTACAGACACCTAGAGCTCTTATTTTCTCCCTCAGCCGCTACCTGCTTTCTTCCTTAACCTTCACATTTAACAGCTATTTACTCTCTCGCAATATCCAGTGCAGCTAGCCATGCGGTTCTCAGCCTCAAGACAAGACTCAAAGGCCATGGAGTGTTTGCCAGCACTAATTGATTCTGTCCCAAGAAGCCAGGGCGCGATGTCATGCAGTCTGTGCACCTTATCCACAGTTGAGTATTAATCGACCCGTTATAGTTGAGGCCAATCTCTGTCCATTGCTATAAAACTGAGTGGGATACAGCACGAGACCCCGGCATCTCTCAGAGTCGCTTGTTCTCACGCGCAGATCTCCTTCATGCTTCTTCGAATTGCTCTTTCCGCCTTATCGACTGCGCTGGTCGCCTCCTTCGTGTCCTTCTGGCTATTTGAACCTGAGCACAAGCCTAACATGCCGTCAACCTCGGGCCGCAAGGATACGGTACTCTATCTAACCGACAGCTCGAGTGGTCTATCGAATAGCCAAATTGCCTCGGCCTCCGCCCTCCTCGGGAGCCAACCCGATATCCAGCTATACTGGGGCTCATTTGCAAATCCGCCGATGGAACCGCAACTACGACGTCTATCCGACGCTGCGAGACACAAAAGCGCCGATGCAAAGCCCATCATCTTTCATCTAATGGGCACCGCGAGCTTGATGGAAGTTATGTATAAGACATACCCTTCATTTGACGCTTTCATCACCGATTATGGTTTGAAGGGTTATGATAAGATGCTTCAGATTGTGCAGAATGTCCTCATGCCATGGACGCCGGAGGAATACTTGGCGCTCTACGAGGAGACAGGGTTGATCCGGCTGTCACTGTGGTGAATAGCATGCAGCGACCTTCTGTCAATGCTGCGCGGAATACAACCGGGCAGTTTAGCTTGCTGAATCCGAATGCCTTCCGCCAGCCTTGGGAACAGATGTTCTGGGAGTACCCAGCGTGAGTGATGCTTTCTGTTGTTTCTTTCGGATATGACACAGGACTATAACTGCGTTGTGTAGTATGATGTCCGGTCATATATTTCCAGTGTCATTCAAAGACATCCTTCCCAACATCTGTATGCAAGTTCGCTCAGATCTCCCAAGATGGAGGCTGCGCGGACTTTCCTCAAAGCTTATGGCATCAAAGACCTATCAACATGCAGATGCAATGGGACCATGTCCCACTCCTATCCGGTGATCTGCCTGAGGCGGGCCTACCTCTGAGCTGCTATCCACCCAATGTCACAGTCTGTGGTCCAATTATCCTAGAAACCGCTCCTGCTGAGCAGCAAGACCACGTCGATTCATGTCCCTGGCTAATACCGGTAAGATTGACGTCTGGGTGCATCACTGTCAACAGCTACTACGAAGCAGCTATGTAAGCACATATCCATCACATCCCTCGCGATTCGACTAGCTGATCTCAAATAGGTCTGGAGTAAGGCAAGAAGCTTTCCTGGGCGGTAGCGCGCTGCTGAGCGTATTGCTCGGATGGCGGGTGAGGGTTACTAGATATATATTTGCTTGTCTCCGATCTCAAGCTCGATGCGTGTTAGGTTTTTTGATTCAAGATGATCAACCAATATGGTACGGGTTCAGGGCACTTTCAAAGCTAATTGTTGCAAATTAATCCATTTCTGAAGTGTGATGCGTTGTATTACAAGGATAAATGTACTCCGAACAGGGCTTGATCGCTCAGATTCCCGCCCCCGGTTTCTCCGCACGCAACGAACAACGTCACCTGCCCTGCCAGCCCGTTCCTGGATCCCTGCACCATCCACTTGCATTCCCCTCTCCTCTCTTCTCCTCTCTTCATCTGTCAGCCTTCTCTCTCTTGGCCACTCTCTTTGAATCAATCATATTCCGGTCCCGTTGCTCCCATTTCCATTGCATCTTAGTTCGAGCCCGCAATCATGGGTGGAGACGTTCTCCGACAAGCTCCCAGCACCCTGCCACGCGCGCCCGATGGCCCTGTCGGACAACGCATACGGAGCATCTACACCGACCGTCTAAACCAGTTCACCTCCAGCGGTCAGTACCAAAACCAGAACTTGCTAGGGTACGTTCTTCAAGCCCAACCTGCACATGTGATGCATCCCAGCTTGTGCTCGAGGCGCAAGCTTCCCCGCATGACCTAGATCGGCTCCACTAACGCCAATACCACTGCCAACAGGAAGTTATTCGAGGCTACAAACTCCGACGAGGACCACGTTAAGCTCTCCGTATACTCGGTTCCTGATCTGAAACGTCCTACCTTCGAGGAAGCCACCTCCAATGAGTTCCAGCCCACACACATCGGGGCCTCCTTCGGCCCCAGCTGGTCCACGCATTGGTTCCGCATCCGCTTGACTATACCCGAAGATATGCGCGACAAGGAGCGCCTTGAGTTCCACTGGGATGCGAATAACGAAGGCTTGGTCTGGACCGAAGATGGCCACCCGTTGCAGGGTCTCACCGGTGGTGGAGAGCGAATCGAGTGGATTATCCCTGACGCCTGGCGCGACGGGAACGAGCATGTCTTTTACATTGAGATGGCGTGCAATAAGATGTTTGGAAATGCCCCTGGCGGTGACTCAATCCAACCACCGAGACCGGATATGTACTATACCCTGAACACTGCGCGGATTACTGCAGTGAACTTGGAGGCGCGGGCGTTGTTCTATGATTTTTGGATTATCTCAGGTATGTCAGCTCCCAAATGAGGTGGGTATGTCTCTCATAGCAAACAGATGCCGCCAGGGAGTTTCCCGCTGAGGGCTGGGAATCCCACGAGGCCAATGTGGTGGCTAATTCCATTATTGATGCGTTCATTGCTGGCAATGGGAGCCTGGAAGCCATCAAAGAAGGTCGACGAATTGCGCAAAAGTATCTTGGTGACAAGGTCGATTCCGCCGAAGTGTATGATAGCGGCACGCAGCCTCTAGTTTACGGCATAGGGCACTGTCATATCGATACCTGCTGGCTTTGGCCGTGGGCAGAAACCAAGCGTAAAGTCGCAAGGTCATGGTCCAACCAGTGCGATCTCATGGACCGCTACCCTGAGCACCGTTTTGCTTGTTCGCAGGCTCAGCAATTCAAGTGGCTTAAGCAGTACTACCCCTCTGTATTTGACCGCGTCAAAGGATGGGTAAAGAAAGGCCACTTTCAACCAATCGGTGGTAGCTGGGTTGAGCACGATACCAACATGCCTAGCGGAGAGTCGCTGGTGAGGCAATTTATCTACGGGCAAAGGTTCTTCGAGAGCAACTTTGGTGAACGATGCACGACTTTCTGGCTCCCGGACACCTTTGGCTATTCCACGCAGATTCCACAGCTATGTCGGCTAGCTGGCATGAGCCGGTTCTTCACGCAGAAGCTCAGCTGGAATAATATCAACAACTTTCCGCATACAACCTTTCAATGGGTTGCGCTTGACGGGACCCAAGTGATGTGCCATATGCCGCCATCAGAGACATACACGGCGGAAGCTCACTTTGGTGACCTGAAGCGCAGTATATCCCAGCACAAATCTCTTGACAATGATAATACCTCACTTCTTGTCTTTGGTAAGGGCGACGGTGGTGGTGGGCCTACGTTTGAACATTTAGAGAAGCTTCGTCGCTGCCGTGGCCTGAGTGACAAGAAAGGTCTGCTTCCGCGGGCGGCGATGGGTGGATCGGTTGACGATTTCTTTGCAAGTCTTGAGAAGAAGGCCGCAGACGGCACTAAGTTCCCAACGTGGTATGGGGAGCTCTATTTTGAGCTGCACCGTGGCACATACACGACGCAGGCGAACAACAAGCGCAACAACCGTCGAGCCGAATTCTTGCTCCGCGAACTAGAGTTCCTGGCTACGATTGCGTCCGTGACCCAATCTGGATACGAGTACCCGAAGAAGGATATTGATGAGATGTGGGAGGGAGTCCTTCTTTGTCAATTTCATGACTGCCTGCCAGGTAGTTGTATTGAGATGTGCTATGACGATTCGGACGAACTTTACGCTCAAGTATTCGAGACTGGTCTGAAAGCAAGGGAGGCAGCTCTTGAGGCGCTCGGACTTAGTAAGACTGGCACCATTCCAGTTGCGATCAATACCCTACCTTGGGAGAGGTCCGAGGTAGTCAGGCTTCCTCCAGCAGTAGCCTCCCAGGGCTCCAAGCATGCTCTAGTGAGCGGCGGTCCTGGCGTCGTGTCTCACTCCAAGTGTGCAATCAAGGCTGCTAAGGTCAGCGTGAATGAGATCAAGCCGGGCTTCTTCCGTCTTGACAACGGCAAACTGAGGGTCGATGTGCAAGACGGCCTCATCACCTCTCTGTATGATGTTGAGGCAGACCGCGAAGTCATTGCTGCCGGCGGCAAGGCTGGCCAGTTGGTGGTCTTTGATGACAAGCCGCTCTATTGGCAGGCATGGGACGTCGAAGTCTTCCACCTTGAATCTAGGAAGGAATTGCAGTCTAGTAAAACCACCGTTGCAGAGAACGACCCCTACCGCGTCAGCGTCGTCACCGACACAAAGATCAGCGAGAACAGTTGGGTTAAGACGACCATAAGCCTTGCTGCCGCAGAGGAGAAGAGGCAGTCTTATGTCGAATTCGAAAGCGAAGTCGAATGGCAGGAAACCATGAAGTTCCTCAAAGTCGAGTTCCCCGTCGACATCACAAACACTGAAGCCTCCTACGAAACTCAGTATGGAATTATAAGACGCCCAACGCACTACAACACAAGGTAACACCCTTCCACTCTTCCCGCCCATACACATACTAACATCCCACAGCTGGGACATGGCCAAGTTCGAAGTCTGCACGCACAAATGGGCCGACCTCTCCGAGAACGGCTACGGCGTATCCATCCTCAACGACTCCAAATACGGCTTCGCAACCTGCGGCAACCTAATGCGTCTTTCCCTTCTCCGAGCCCCCAAGGCCCCAGACGCCCACGCCGACATGGGCCGCCATACAATCCGCTACGCTATCCTCCCCCATACCGGCCCTCTAGACTTCCGAACAGTCCGCGCCGGCTACGAATTCAACCACCCGCTCATCCTTGACTCCTCTCTAGCGCTGCCCGACGAACAAAGCGTCTCCGCAGTCACCGCGCTCCTCCGTAACATCGAGCTCACTGGCTCTCCATCGCTGATCCTGGATGCCGTCAAGCGCGGCGAAGACGATGAGGATATCGTCAGTGATCCTGACATCGCTCTTCCCAGTGCGAAACGGGCCGGGCAGAGTATCATCCTGCGCATATATGAAAGTCTTGGCGGGAAGAGTCGGGGCACAATTAGAACTGCCTTCCCGGTGAAGAAGGTCTGGAAGACTAATGTTCTTGAAGATGATGGGGACGAGATGGGTCTTGTGGACGATGGCGAGGGTTGGAAAAAGGTTAATATTGAGTTGAGGGCTTTTGAGGTTGCGACGTTTAGGTTGCAGTTATAGGTCTGTCAGAAGTTGGTCCATACTGGTATTTCTGATGTGTCCAGGATGTCATATACTGGCTATATGGTTAGTTATCATTATTGTGGCGCTTGAAATAGGTTCTGGCTCCTGAGTCTATGATTGTTTAGCCTCGGACATCTAGGTCAACAGACGATATCTAAAAAAGGCATCAAATTCCGCCCCCGGCCTCAAGCCAAGCACTCAAAGGAAAATGCAACAACGGTAAACAACCCCGTCTCCAGCGCCAAAGATCCCCAGCAAAATGCATACCTGTACGTTCCCATGTAACTCCAAACAAAACACCCATTTTCGCAGAACCGAGACAGAAAGCAATCCATGCACACTATGATATACAACAAAGTGGTGAAGTCTACTCCCTCGTCGCGTACGTCATCTTAAACCTCTTCGTCGTCGGCTTGTCATCGTCGTCATCATCGCCCCTATTCGCAGCCTTTTTCTTATTCTTCGACGACGACGACGATGAGCCACCCTTTACACTGCCAGCCGTAGACGATGTGTCTCCATTCCCTGGCTTCCCAGATGACCCGTTGTAGGTTGAATTCGGGGTTGGCGCATGCGAGGGCGTTGTTTGTGTCGAGGGTGTTGGTGAATCCTGCCAACACGAAGCAGTTAGTTTATACTCGCATTCTCACCCATCTATGTGGGCGATTCAGCAGTTAGTGGAAAACATACCCGCATAAAACTCGCCGAACTCCTCGAAAACACGCGATCGTTATCCGTAACCGCACTCTTCCGTCTACTCGCCGTGCCCGCGCCCGTGGAGAGCGAAATCCCGCTCGCGCTGAGACTCGACCCCCCGCCTGAGCCCTTGATATACGTGTCAAAGCCCTTGATAATATTCCCCGCCGTCGTTTCCTCGAGGTACGATTGCTCGAAGCGGAAGATCTGGTCTTCGAGCTGCGCCATGCTCTTGTCCATGAGTCTCTTCTTCTGGAGGGTGTCGCGCAGCTCGCGGCGGAGTTTCTCGTAGTAGGGGAGGCCGCGGTTTGCGCGGTTGTCTGCGCCTGCTGGGGGCTGGTTTTCGTTGTTCGTGGTGGTGTTGGTGCTGGTGTTGTTCGCGTTGGAGGTTACGGCGGCGGAGTTTGCGGCGCTTGGTGTTGATGGGGCTGCGGTGTTAATTTGGTTTTGGTTTGGGACTTGTGTGGTGTTTTGCGGCGTGCTGTCTCCTGCTCCGGACCCTGTCCCTGCTGGCCCGCTATTTGCTGGTGTGCTTGCGACGGGGGCGGAGGGTGTTGCGGTTGCGGCGTCGGCCATCTTTTCGTTGGGCGCTCCGTCAACAGAGATTTCGCGTTTTATGGCTCGTAAAAATCGTAGAATGTCCGTTTGCGGGAATGAATTGGATGATATGTGCGAAATGTGTGTCAATTGGGTGCTTTGTGACGTGAAAGAAATCCAGTGCAAGGCCAGGATCGGAGTTGGTGATCGGCGCCGACCTTATCAGCGGTTGTTTGACTTGTTTGCAATCACCTCATCGTCAGCCACAACTACGGAGGACTAAATTAACAAATGCGCAAAAACTCCACTTGTAGTATAATACTATATATTTACTTAGTATTTTACTAGTAAAAAATTAAATATATTATAACTTACTTAGTTTTACTATATAGTTACTTATTTTAAGTATTATAAAAAGGTGTAAGCTAACACTTAGGTAAAATAAAAATACTTAAATACTTAAATACCTAAACACCTGCAGTATAGTATTCCTTAATTAATTATATAAAAATAAAAAAAATTTTTAATTTAAGTTAATTAAATTTTTTGCCTTTTTTTTTTCTAGGTTTAAGTTAATTAAATTTTTTATATTATTTATAATAAGCCCTTTTTATATAAGTCCGCGGGTAGCTTATTTTTAATAATAATCTTAAAATTAACTAGGAGTAGTTTATGGTCCTACCCTTTAATAATTATTTTATATAATACATGCAAGAGTATTATCTAGTTATTTATAATTAATATAATACCTATTAAATATATTAAAAAGGTAAATATATTTTATAAAAAAATAAAAACCACCCAGGTGTTAATAGTACCTGTATAGGATACTTACTTTTTTCCCTTAAAAAATAATTAAAAGGGTATTTATATATAAGTCCCGGTATAATATTATTTAATTAGGCCTTATATTATTATATATAATAATTATTAACCTGCCTGGATAAGCTATTAACTATTTTTATATATAGTTATGGCAAAACCAGGCTAACTCTTAATTTTTAATAAAAAGTTTTAAAGGCTAACCCGCGGGAGTTTATTAAAAAATACACTTAAAAATAATACCTAAATCTATTTCTAGCCAAGCCGGCTTAACACTAAAATAAGTAATAAATTTAAAAATTATTATATACTAAATAGCCTTAAAGGTTTTATATAAGACCTTTTAAAAGCTATTACTAGTATATAAAGCTATTAGCTAGTATTTAACTAGTATAAAATATAAAATATTTAGTATTTTACAAAGCTTAAAGGGCGGAGGCAAAAAGCTAAAAAAAAAAAGGTTATATACTAGTTTCTAGTAATATTATATACTAAAATAGCCTTAAAAATCTTATACAAGACCTTTAAAAGTTATTACTAGTATACAAAGCTATTAGCAAGTATTTTAAAGTAATTAAAAAAAAAAAAAGGTTACTTACTAATTTTTAATAACATGGTATACTAAAAATAGCCTTACTTAACTATTTTTATACAAAAAGGCCTTATAAGGGCTATTACTAGTGTATAAAAAATTAGCTAATACCTTTTTAAAATAAAAAACAAAAGGTAAAGGGCCAAATGTACGCCATTATATTAATAATAGTTAAAAAAAAAAAAAAAAAAAAAAAAAAAAAAAAAAAAAAAAAAAAATAAAAAAAAAAAAAAAAAAAAAAAAAAAAAAAAAAAAATAATAATAAGGCTTTAGTATATTATATTACTTAGTTATAACCACCTAACTAAATACCTTAAATATTTTTATATAAAACCAGCCACTTTACTTTAAGAATTTTATTTTTATTTACTAGTATAATTTATAACTCCAGGCTTAATTTTAGCCTTTATATAAAGGTAACTTTATTTTTAACTTTTAGCCTTTATATAAAGGCTAAATAACTCCCAGCCTTTATATAAAGGCTAAAATTAAGCCTAAAGTTATAAATTTTATTAATAACTTAAATACTAAGTATTCCGCAGGGCAAGGTATGCAAAAAAAAAAAGATTTTTATATAATATTAACTATTTTTAAAAGTAAGTAATTTAAAAAATAACTTTTAGTACCTAAATAGTAGTACTATAAACCTAAACTTATCTTTATATAAAGGCCTAAAGTTTATATATAAAGGCAAGTTTAGGTTTATGGTATTATTATCTAGCCTTTATATAAAAATAAAATTAAGCTTAAAGTTATAAATTTTACTAGTAACTTAAATATTAAGTGTTTTATAAGCTTATTAAAGCTTTACTAGTAAGATTTATAACTTTAGGCTTAATTTTACCTTTATATAAAGGTAAGTTTAAGTTTATAATATTATTATCCGGGCACTAAGGCTAAAATTAAGCCTAAAGTTATAAATTTTATTAGTAACTTAAATACTAAGTATTTTATAAGCTTATTAAAGCTTTATTAAGCTATACTTACCTTTATATAAGGCCGCACTTGCCTTTATATAAAAGCCGTACTTATTTTTATATATTTTATATATATAAAGGCCGCACTTATAACTTTAGGCTTAATTTTACTTTTATATAAAGGCTTAAATAATAGTATTATAAACCTAAACTTGCCTTTATATAAAAATAAAATTAAGCCTAAAGTTATAAATTTATTAATAACTTAAATACTAAGTATTTTATACTATAAGCTTTATATAAAAACCCCAAGCCTAACTTTTTAAAGTAGGTATCTAACCCTTTATACAGGAATAAAAGGTAAAATCCTAGAATAATAGTTAAAATAAATAATAATTTTATTAATTTATATAATAAGTAAAATTAACAAGGCATTAAGGCCTTTATATAAGATATTAAGAATAGTAAAGTAAGTAAAATTAACAAGGTATTAAGGCCTTTATACAGTATATTAAAAATAGTAAAGCAAGTGGAATTAATAAGGTGTTAAGGCCTTTATATAAAATAAATTAACAAGGTATTAAGGCCTTTATACAGTATATTAAAAATAATAAAGTAAGTAAAATTAATAAGGCGTTAAGGCCTTTATATAAAATAAATCTTTTTTTTAAATAAAAATTTTAAACTTTATAAAGCACTTAACATTCTTAGGTTAAATTTAATAGTACCTTTTTATATAATAGGTAATATTATTATTTTCCTGCTTTTTTTATATAAAAAGCTTGGCTAGATTAAAAAGGCTAGTTTTTTCTTTTTTTTTAATAGCCTGTTTTTTAGTATTTTTTTAAAAAAGAGATTGTTATCACCGCTATGGTGTTGCAACTGCGCAGTGTTGTAATAACGCAATCCGGCGGCCTGAGGCCACCTGATGGAGGAACTTTGGTGCTAATCTAACCGCGCGCCAAGGCGGCGGTTAATTATGTAATATATAAAATACTAAGTTTAACTTAAAACTTTAACTTAAAAAATTAGTAATTAGTTCTTACTATAAATATATAATACCCTTATTTAATTTATTAAATAATTAATAGTTCCCTGTTAAATAAACTTTAACATCCTTATAAATTTTAAAAAAACCACTATAAAACTAGTTATAGTAACAGCTGCGCGCCCTAAAAAGGATTTTTTAAAAAAATTACTATTTATAAAACTATACTAAGTAAATAATATTAAGAAATTTAATAATTAAAAATTAAATATAAAAACGCACTTTAAAACCTTTCTAACCTACTACCCTAATAATAATTGCAAAATATCTTAATTTATTAAATTTTTAGCAAAAGACCGTTAATGTAAATAGTTTAATATCCATAAGGTAAAACCTGCGTTTACCTGGAAGGAATTTTTTAATACTTTAGTTAAAATAATTAATAATAAAATAGTGCTTGTTAATAATTTACTTATTAAATAGGGCAACATAAAATAGTAACCATGGCAAATTATTAGGTAATTTATATAGTTACTAAACTAAATTAAGAAATACCTACCTTATAAGTATAATAATAATTAGCGCCAAGGACACCTGTACTAGAAAATCCTAAAAAATATATAAAAAAAGTCCCTTATTTATAAACACTAAGAACTAAAGCGCTATAATAACTATATATTATACTTAACAAGTATTAAAAATAACATGCCCGAGCAAAAAAAAACTATTATAAAAAAAAAAAAAAGTTTTTTTAACTAAACTTGCACAAGGCTATTAGCAACCAAAGTTAAGGCACTTTTTACTATAAAAAAAAGCGTAAAAGCAAATACTGGTATAAAATAACCTAATAATTTAAATAATTTCTTATTTATAAAAAAGCCATACCCAGGCAAATACCTAAACTATAGCCATATTAAACACTTTAAATAATATTACTAGTTACCAGGCAGAGGTTAGGAAAAAAAGGTGCTTTTATAATAGTAACCCCTAAGTAAATCTAATAATATAAAAAACATAAAACCCTAAAACTTTACACAGTGTAAGCTTTAAAAGTTTATATAAAATAAAAAAGTGCGCCGCGGGCCTAGGTAATCTAGGTAAAAATAAAAAAAAAAAATAAAAAATAATAATATATAAAAGTTTTTATTAACTTTAAAGTAAAAGTAAATTTTATAAACTAGTACTGGGCAAAGTTTTATTTTATATAAAATAAAAAATTAGCTTATAAAGTACGCGTAATTAATAGCCACACGGTAATATTTTACAGGAAATATATACTTATGGTTTATGCCAGAGATTTTGCGCGTAATATACAACACTATTAATAAAACTTTAAAGCTATTAATATTAATAATTATAACATAATTTTAGGGTTCCCGTGGCTTTTAGCCGTAATACCTATTTTAAACTAGTGTACTAGTAATTAAATATATAGTTAAAAAGTAAAGTATAATCCTAAATACTTGCAGTATATAATAATAGTATAAAAATATACCGCAGAAATTACTACGGGAGTTAAAGTACTTTTAATATAAATTTTTAAGTAAAAAGACCATGTTACAATACACCTTAATAAGGCAAAGGTTAAAAAAATCTTACTACCTAAATAATACTATAAATACGTAAATATATTTTCTAAAGCAAAGGCAAATATTCTTACATTTTATTACTTATATAATTATATAATTAAGTTATAACCTAGTGTTAAGCCTCCAAGTAA